TATTTTTGTTTAGTTTAATCCTAGATATTTTGATAACAAATTTTCTCAAAAGATATAAACTTCTGCTAGCATACTTCATCTTCAAACGCATACTTCATCTTGAAAATAGTCCAAGCTCTTGGAGGTTACCCACGTTTCCCATTCTCCCAAGCCGTAGAAAGTACTCCGTCTATCACAGAGTACTAAAAATTACATTAATTAATTGTAGTATTAACCACCCAATCCACATATAATTAAAGAAAAGATATACGTACAACGATGATTTATTTTGCTTCCACAGGAAGATTTATTAAAGAGTCTTTGTTTGTATTTGGTTCTCAAAGTTTCACGCATATACGGCGATGAAAGAAGGAACCGCCTTAAATTTAGCCTGGAATTTAATACTTTGCTGAGTCACAATGTCTAGAAGGCTTGCTGAAAATCCAAAGAGAAGTGGACGCCGTGGTTTTTATCGATTCCAGCTCATCAAGGCAGCGCATATAGACGTTCCTGTTGGAGAAGCTAAATTTATCTCAAAGTCTATTTATCTCACGTGGCAGTGCATATTTCGGGAATCCATTTTCCCATTACGGATGCTCTAAGCATGATATGTTACGTGCTCAATACGTGAACATGTTATCCTACTTGGCAGATGGACCCGGCCTTAATTATCATAACTAGTATGTGTACCCGTGCATTGCACAACAAAATATGCACTTAAAGTTTTTATTAAAATTGTAAGAGAAATGAATTGTATGTGAATTTGTCAATATGGATTTAAAAGAAAATTCACTTGATTGTGGATAGAGTTGCCAAAATGAGTCAATGTCCCTAGGACAAGGCCATTTCATCATATTTCATGGTGGGTGAGAGTTGTCATTTTTTTACCCAATGAACTCAGTGCGTGGTTTCGTGAGTCAACCTGCACGGGTTGCATGTTAAGTGAGTTGACTCATGCAGGTTGTGAGTAAACCAAAATATAAAATATGTTTTTTTGTTTTTTGTCTTCAATATTATTTGTTTACTACATACCAAAATTATTTTCATATATACTTATAATTTTACAACGCTTGTTGAACTATTATTTCTATAATTCTATATATACTCCCTCCGTCCCAATATAAAAGGCATATTTGCGTTTGGGGAGTTTTTAAGGGTGAACACTGTTTGACACTGTTTAGACACTGTTTGGCACTGTTTGGACACTGTTTGACACTGTTTTGCACTGTTTTGTTTGCCAAAAAGGGAAATGTGCCTTTTATATTGAGACGGACCGAAAAGGAAAGTGTGCCTTTTATATTGGGACGGAGGGAGTAATAATTATTCAAATAAATTACTGCAAAAAAATTACTCAAGCATATATTTTATGTTATTGTTGAAAATAATTTCTTAACAATAAATAGTTATTGTTTACAAATGTTTACTTAAAATATGTAAATTGCATCTTTTTTTTGTACCATGAGTGTTTTTATAGATACTCCATGTCTCCCTTTGTACCGCTAAGATTCTCTTATTTTTCTCTTTCGATCCGTCCCTCTAACATTGTCTCATACAAAATTAGGTAACGTTTGTGCGATTTTAAAACATTCTTACTTTATTCTTACTTTATCAATTCAATACCAATTGCATAAACTTATTATTCTTAATAATCGTGGCACCACCTCATGTCCCAATGTTAGTGGGACAGAGGTATAATAGACTAATAGTACAATGTAACACTTATCAAACTTAGTATAACAATAATTTAATAATATTTTAAATTAAACTTATGAAGTATTGTGTGCTTATTAGTATTTTAGTTTCTTATATACTATACTAGTGATTACTCGCGCAAGGCACGAGAGGGTTTGTCTAATATTAAAATAAGGCTAAAGGGTCAAATAGGCCCGTGAACTGACTTAAAGTGTTCAATTAGCCCCTTATATAGGAGTTTCTGCCCGGCCGTCGCCAATTGGGGCGGTTCCCGGTGGAATTTTTTGATGAATTTTTTTGAACATCTTCTGCATTAAGTCTAGTTTACTCATACCAAGTTTCAGCTAAAAATTCAACCGGGAAGGCAGTCAAATGATTTTTTGAAGATAACTGCGAAGTTAAACAGCGCAGTACATTTCGAAAAATCATTTGACTGCCTTCCCGGTTGAATTTTTAGCTGAAATTTGGTATGGCTAAACTAGACTTAATGAAGAAGATGCTCAAAAAATTTCATCAAAAAACTCCACCGGGAACCGCCCCAATTAGCGACGGCCGAGTAGAACCTCCTATATAAGGGACTAATTGAACACTTTAAGTCAGTTCAAGGGCCTATTTGACCCTTTAGCCTTAAAATAATGTTAATTGTCTTTTGTAAAAAAAGTGTTACATGCAAAATAGTTAGGAGACTTTTGTAAATAGCTAATGAAATTTTACATATCGAGCTCGTTTGGTGACTCTATTTTTCGGCTTATCATGCTTACCGGCCAACTTTTTATTTCGCGCGTAGAATAGTGTAATAGTAACAAAAAGTAAGGTTGTAGTTACTTTTTTGGCTGTGTTGGCTGAACTTACCGTAGATGACTATTTAGCTATTTTCCATATTTGTTTTTTATTTTATTAATAAGAATATGTTTAATTTTTAATTTATTGATAAATCAGCAGAATCAACCAATACAATCACTTCGATCAAAACTTCATAAATTTCAACAGAATCAGCCAATTCTAGTGCTACCAAACGGGCTCATCATATATTTTAGAGATTATCAGAATATATAATTATATTCCATGTCAACCATTTATTGTGCGGAAAATATGTGATTATATGGTTCATCCTTAATCAATTTTTAGAAATACATTAAGAATATTGATGCAAATATGATTCAAATGCATATAGTTGTGCACAAACCATTTTTATGAACAATAAGTATTTCTCATTTGTGTAATCATATGTGTTTGAAGTAATAAAAGATTACATTTAAGACACATATTTAGCTATGTAGTATCAACCTTAGATACAAAATTTGTGTGTGTTAGTTCACAAGTGAAGCATTTCTTATATTCCGTATTGAACATATAATCCGTAATTGTAACAATATATTTCTTCCAAAAAATTTCCAAAAAATATAATTAAATACTCCGTATTTGCATAAAATTAAATGAAATTTGAGTATGTTTCTAAAATATTATAAAATATAAAGTGAATGAGAAGTACATGATTACTGATACTCCATATTATACAATAATAACAAGTTCGCATGCAAAAAGAGAAATGAATAATAGAAGAAATGTAACGAATGAAATAAAAAGAAAGGTGGCATGGGGGCATGGCAATCCGTAATTCCATATAATGCTTCTTTTGCATATGGGTCTTTTGTTGCTTATGAAACAGACGATGTGTTGTAGGTTGCCCAGGAATTTGTGTAAACTGAAAATATGCTGACAGAAGAAAGAAATCTCACTTAGGCATTAAAACAAACAGTTTTTGTGCAAGAGTAAAGCTCTCTGTTAATGGGGTTGTTTGGCAAACGGCTTATCAGCCATTTTAGCTTGTTTGACTCAAAATAGATGTTTGACTTGGTTAAGAAGCCAAAAATGTTGTTTGGTAATCAGCTTCTCAGTTCGGCTAATCCATATGAAGAAGCCGAAATGTGAAAAGCCTTGTTTCTTCTTCTCCATTTGAAAGCAAAGGTATGTAACTTCTTTCATGGTTTTTCTTCTTCTGATTTTTTCCCCATTCTTTGTATTTTCGATTAATTTTCATTTCTTCTTCTTCTTCTGATTTTTCCCCCATTCCTTCTAAAAGATTTATTTGTTTAGATTTATTATACTTTTATCTTAAAATTTAATTTATTCTTTTTACATTTCAAATAAAATATTGTTTTTCTTAAATAATTTATTTTGCAAATTAATTGTAGTTTTAACATTATCACTATCATCATTACTCAAATATTATATATACACTCGTGTCCTTATACGTCTTTTTACACTCAAGCAGCTGTTTTATAACAGCTAATTTTACCAAACATTTATTAACAACAAGCTAACATAATCAGCCAATCAAAACAGCTAACATAACCAGCTATGATCAAACAACTGACATAACCAACTAACAGCTAACAGCCGATTGCCAAACAAGGCCAACATATGAAATGGAACAACTACACACACGAATGAATCATGACAGATGCAGAAATATATAGGAATAGAACGGGAGTTAACCAAGCTACTATTCTGCCTCTACTCCACAACTCCACTACTCAACAACTTACTAAAAATATTGAAATGCCTAAAGAAGAGGTAAACTGGCAACTGAAACATATTATTTGCTAAACAAAAATATTAAAGCTGAAATATAGGAGGATTAAATGCAACACAATGTGCCGCCTTAAGATTTATTTTACTACCGTAAGGGTAAAATAGCCAATGGAAAAATAAGGTCCCACCTTCTAATAATAATGTACAACATCTGATCTTATGCATGAGGTGTGCAGACACAATTTAGGGGTACCAATCTTCATTCATAGTTATATTGTTGTTAGATATAATTTGGACGATCAAATGAGAATGCAATCTATGAAGATAATTAGAATGAACCGGAACGTTGAATCAGAACGTTAGATTTGAAAATTGCGCATGATGTGAAGTACAAATATGTGTTACCATAAATAAAAAAATGCAGTAACATTTTTTAAATAAATTAAACATTTCCTGTCCATTTAAATATAAATATTTATTTATATTTGACTACCTAAATTGTTTTCAAATATACTTATTATTTATATTTATATATACACATCTATAAATATAAATACATACATATAATATTGGAACACATAAGAGTAGATTTTTGGAAGTTGAATAGTTTTTTTTTTTTTGAATTTATTGTATTGTCACATGACTCACATGTCATTTTTGCACACAAAAGATGTTAGCACATGTCAAGAATTCTCCCAGCGTTGCTTTATTATAGATCAAGTCATTAATTTGAGTCTCTTATTAAGTTGAATTGGGAGGAGGGCCAATACTAATTTCATACTCCGTACGTAGTATAACAGCCGAACAAGCATAATAACGGACGTAAGACGGGGAAAAGAGTTTGAGATAAAGAGAAAGAGGATGGCGGCTGGGTTAGGAAAGAGGAGCAAAATAAACGGAGTTTTCCACGACGATTTGTTGGGGGAGGTCCTGCAGCGTGCTCCGCCTGAATCGGTGGCGCGTTGTAAAGCCGTGTGCAAGCGGTGGCGAAACCTAATCTCGACCCCTTTTTTCTTCGGCCGTTTTTGCGGCCACCACCACCAGCTGCTAATTAGCGGCGAAGAGGAGTGCGTCGCCACGCGCTGCTCCACCAAGGGGCAACTGTTCATCTTTCATCCCCGCTTTGAGCGCCAATTTTCCCTGGACTTCCTGCCTTTTGACGAAGCTGCGAAAAGAAAGAAATTCGTGATGGGTTTCTGCGAAGGACTGTTCTTGTGCGAGCCAGACGACGGGATCGCAGATGAGATGTTTTACCACATAGCCAACCCGATCACCAAGAATTGGGTCGGGCTCCCAGCATCGCCAAAGGTGCGTTCAGATTTTGAGATAGCTGTGGGCTTCGCCTATTACCCTGGCCTTTCCGGCCCTCGCTTCAAGATTGTCCAAATTCTTTCGCCCATTCACACCGACCCGGTGTCAGACTTTGAAGTGGACATCTTTTGCTCGTGGACCGGAAACTGGGCTCGGGGAACGGTTACATTTCCCGAGCCCATCACGTGGACGTACTTCATGCTAATGCAAGCTGCCGTTTTCTACAAAGGGTACTTGCATTGGATGGATGGGGGGATGAGGACAATTCTGTACGACGTCGAAAACGACGCGATCGCTTGTGTTCTGAATCGGCCCGAGGGCGCTGCCGTTGTCACGGAGGAGTTGTTTTGTTTTGGTACGTGCGGTGGCCGGTTTTACGCTTCGGAGCTGCACCAAGCGACATTGAGGATTTGGGAGCTGAAGCACCTGCAGGGGCAGCGGCCTGAGTGGAGTATGCAGCGGCAGGTGCACATTCCAATAATACCAGCTACACGCAGCCTACCATTGCTGGCTATCCATCCATGGGATATGAATGTTGTTTATATAGGTTATGGGAAACGGGCTATTTCTTGCAATTTGAGAACCTATACTCTGAAACCCATTTGCAGGATAGTAAGGTACCGTTTGACACCCCTGAGGCTTCCACACATTGCATTCGATATGACATATAGCATCATGTTTCCCCCCTGGCCAACTTCCATCCCCAATACGGAGAATGTGACATCCAGTTCCAAAAAGCGAGAGTTAATTTAATTTAGGATTTCTCAAAAAACTGTTATTAAAACCCCTTAGTTAGTGCGTGGCTCCAATTATTAGTTGGAATCGTAGATTCCGGCCTACACTTTTTTTGTTTTTTGTTATTTATGTAGGATATTTTGAACAAACCTTATCGGTACGTAATTAGATATTTCAAATGAGTGTTACTCAGTTTTTATTTATACTTTTATGTTATACAAATCACATTTTTATTATAATCTACATACTTTTATTTATATTTTAAATATATGTATGTGTGGCTGACTGGCTGAGCACTAAAGTAGCTCGATAGAGTTAGTTTTGAAAATATATAGCTGATTATGTTTTATATGATTATGATTTATCTCATTAAATTTTATATGACTAAAAGTGGTTCTATTCGCCTGATCATAATGTTCCTGATATGGCTTTTTTAAGGTCTAGTTCAATCTAAACTGATTTTTTTTATCTGCTTTGATATGGAATTTCTTAAGGTGACATGATCTGATTTGAAATCTTTCTCATCTGATCTGAATCTTTCAAATCTAGTCTGATTATTATATATTGTTGTTGTTATCATCACCACCACCACCATCGTAATCACCGTCACCACTACCACCATCATCAACATCATCACCACCACCATCACAATCATCATAATCACTGACATCATCATCACCACCACCAACATCACCACCCATATCATCATCATTATCAACATCATCACCATCACAACAATTTGGAAACATACTGTATCCATTTGATTTCATTTTTGAATTCATTGATTATTGGCTGTATGGATATAATCAGAAAGGTTCTTGTCTCTGGCATTTGTATGGACCATCAGTTGCTTGATCTAGCTTTAGGTAGTAAAACCTTTAAAATGGAAGTGTTGAGATTAGTTGGTCACCATGGCGCGCGGAAATCATCCTGTATTCCTATCTGAAACCTTCACAATGGAAGTGTTGAGATTAGTGCCTAGAATCACAATTATGCAGTTGATATTCAGTCCCTCCCTGAATGATGTTGCAGCGATACTTGCTTCAATCCAATCGTTGCTTTGTGATCCAAATCCAAACTCACCTGCCAACTCAGAAGTTGCACGACTGTTTAGTGAGTATAACTGCAGGAAGGTGCGTGAGATTGTTGAGCAAAGCTGCGCAGCAGACTAAATTAAATCTGATGTAGGTCTCCTTAGCTTGCTCTGATTTATACCAGCTGGTTGCTTCTCTAGCTTTGGTCTCTTGAACTCATTGTTGTTTGATTCATGAACTAAAGATGCAATCACCATTCCCCAATGTTCGTTATCTCTACCCTGTTGCTTATATATGAGACAGTGACTGTACATAATTCTCTTGAATCTGAGCTGTGGAACTTTCCCCCCAGTAGGTGTCCACCCTTAGGATCGGAGGTGCCTGTATGTTTGGCTTAGCTTTTGGATGTCTAAAAGCATTTTTATTGCATCTATACGTACGTTTAGACCATGTTTTTGCTCTACTGCAAACACCGTGGCCTGACTGCTGGCCACTTAACTGTTGGTATCCTAGCTAGCTAGTCCAGTCAAGCCTGAAGAATGGTGTGAAACCAAGTGCGTGCAGTGGAGGTCTCCGGTTGAACGGTGAGTGCTTGAGAACAGAGTTATAGGATGCCTTGTTTGTGGACATCACAAGTCATCAAAACAAAAGCTCTCGAGAAAGGAATGCCCATAACCAAAGATTTTTACTTGTGTGACAATCCAAGGATGGTACGTGTATTGAAAGTGATCAGTGTAGTCATATAACAGCATCAATGGTAGTAATGTTATCAGCAATGGTTTAATGTCAAAAAAGGCGTGGAAGTAATTTGTGTCAATTTCAATGTTTTAGTCGAACTTTCTCATAAATATATACGTAGTATTAAATCCACGTAAACTGAAATTTGAATCCATGTACATAAAGCAACCACGAGAAACAATAAAAAAATTATTAATAGTTATCAACAAAAGGAAACAATAAAAAAGGTATTAATAGTTATCAACAAAAGGAAACAAAAATAAATAATATGCAACAAACACAAACAACAAATTATACATCAAGTATTTTTAGATTTTGTGACAATTTAAAAAACGAACGATGAGATTCATATTTTTATACATTTTTAATTGTTTCAATGCAAATACTTTTTCATTTTGACATTTTTATTTTAGTTTTTTATATTTTTCATGCTTTTTGGTGTCATAATTTATTTCAATTTAGTTTTTATTTCACAGCATTTAATTTTATTTTTTAACTTTTTCAAAATTGTATTATTTTATGTATTGCATTTAGACTTTTTTACTTTCTATTTATTTCCATTTCTAAAAGAATAAATGTTTCATAAGAGTTTCTAATTGCCTTTCATTATTCTTAATATTTTCAAAAGCAATTTTGTTTTAATTTTTTTATTTGTTAAGATTCTTGATAATTTAGAGTTTAATTTTATTTTTCACTTTTCTAATTTTTTTATTTACTCTCTCCGTATTAAAAGTTCCCTACACTTACATTTTTGGTAAGTTTACCCTTTATAAAATATTAACTATCATTACTTTGTCTACTTTTTATCTTCTCTTTCATACTTTTACACTCTCTTCTACTTTTTCTACACTATTCATTATCTCTACTAATTTACTCCTTAAATAATGTGTCCAATGTAATTTAGTGAACATTAAAATACGGAAATTAAAATACGGAAGGAGTTTATATTTCCATTTTTGTTTTTTAATTAATTTTATACATATTTCAATTATTTATATTTTTTATTGTTTTGTATGTACTTTTTATACAAATTGTGGGGCATATGGTATCTTCTAGGAAATTAACCTTACAAAAAAAGTTTTTTTTCTACAATTTTTCGACTTTGTAAATTACTTTAAACGTTTTTCATTTTTAGTTTTGATTTTTTTATTTCCACATTATATATATATATATATATATATATATATATATATATTATCATCAAAACAAGCCTCTATTCACATAAAAGATTCAGGATCATTACATCAAATAAAAGGAAAATAAAACTGACACCAACTAAACTCCAACAACTACGAATGTAAACCCTTTGATCATACATATTTTTTTGACAAATTTAAATTCCGTTTTAAAATTTAACTTGCAAGTTATCGTCTTTGATTTTAATATTAATTTGATTGTTTCATTATTTTCTAATATTATATTATTTTCAATAAATTTTATTATTTTCTAATTATGTTCACATTTTTTACATTTTAGTAATTTTTTTCTATTTTGAAAATATGAATTGAGTAATTCTTGGAGTTTCTACAAACTTAACAAAGATGCTGCATTATCACCAAAAAAAGATGCTGCATAGAGGAAGCCTGTTGTCCACACACGCTTCTTTGAAGCATGGATTCCAAGAGGTTTTTAACGTATGGTCTATTTTTTAAAACCAAAGCGTGCTTAGTCTATTTTTGCAAAGAACATTTAAAATTGAAAAAACTGATATCCTATACCTAAAAGCAGTACACTGGAGAGAGAAAATTCTCCCGCCCAGTGTTGAGGTCTAATCCGGAAATTCACTTTATCGACTTTTCACCTCTTTCTTCTCTTCGCCAGTAACGATTCCTCCCATTTCCATCGATGAATTTCTTCTCACCTTATAGGCTTCTCACCCTTCGAATCCACACTGTATCACACCCTAGCTTTTCGAACCACACCTATCCGGAGAGAGACCTTCCCTTTCTCTTCTCTTCGCCAGAAATGCCTCCTCCCAGTTCCAGGATTTCTTCTCACAATTCGAATTCATCAAGTCTCAAGCCTAGCTATTACACCCCAATAAATTCATTGAGACGTTGCCGATTGATTTTTAACTGATTTCGTGTTTGCTAGGTCTACACAGAGATGGCCTTTACTTCCGGATTTTGTTGCCCCGCCTTCGTATCAAGCTTCATCCATTTTCGGATTTGCATAAAGCTTCATCCAGTTTCGGATTTGCATAAAAGCTGGAATATGAAGATGAATTCCTTTACCTTATCTATGTTTGGAATATTCCCGGTCAGTGTGTCAATTTCAATATTTCATTACCTTTTGTGTACTTATATTATAGAGATTTAGTTTAGTATATTTAATTGATTTAGATGTAATGAGAACTATTAGATGTAACTACAGTGAAAATAACCACATATATGGGTTACTAATATCCACACTCTTAGACTCTTATACTTCCTCCGTTCTTAAATAAATGCAACGGTCAATATTTCACACTTGTTGAGACTCAACTTTGACCATTAATAAAAATGATTTTGTATTAGTAAAAAAATGAAAAAAAAATAGATTATCAAAATTTACAATGAGACAAGTTTAACAATATATTTTTTTCATAAAATAATATTATTACATCAATAAATAAAACGTAGTCAAAGTAGAACATGTGAATAGTGTAAAAGTCAAAGTGTTGCATTTATTTAAGAACAGAGGTAGTATTCTGCTATTTCTAAAACGCTTCTAATCAGGGCCGGCCCAGAGGGAGTTTAGGGTGTGCGACCGCACAGGGCCCAAAAAAATCGAGGGCCCAAAATAAAATTTTTAGTAGTAGTACTACTACTCTACTAATGTAATAATGTATGATGAATTGATGAAATAATGAAATTTAAAAATTTGGTTGTTATTTAGAATTAAATGTAATTAGTTGATGAGTTAATTAGGCTATTTATATTTAATAAATTTGTAATTGCTGCAGCTATGTTTTAAGAACATCTGTTTGTCGATCAATATTTATGTCAGAAAGGAAAGCCCAAATTTTGTTAATGCACAGGGCCTCCATTTTCTCAGGACCGGCCCTGCTTCTAATGATGGCACGCAACCACAAAATCCATCTAATATATATGTGCAGGTGGTATGTATAGCACGATGAGTAATACAATTATCAATAGGCAACAAACATACAAATATTCATTCCAAATCTCAATTTCAGGTTCATAAAACTTAACTTTTTTAATATGTCAAATAAGGTTTAGAAAACTTAACTTAAGCACAGGGAGTGTTTCATTACATCTTTTTCATTACTTTATAGTCTATGTTTGGAATATGGAGTTAGAGTTTAATTATATTAAAGTATTATAAAATTTTCATTTTTGCTCCAATTTTTACAAATTTTGTGATCTTTCATTTGAGATCAATATTGAATATATAAAAATTTTACTTCCTCCGTTCTTTTAAGTTGCAACATTGCCTTTTTCACGTTTACCAATGTACAACTTTGACCGTTATTATATTTAATTCTCTATTAGTAAAGAACTTTTAAAAATAATATTATGAAACTTTGTATTGAGACGGATGATGATATTTATTAACAGTCTCTATAATTATGTATAGAATAAAATTATATATGTCTATATATATGAAAGGAGTAGGCTATTAAAAATATGGTTTTACCCCCAATTATTTGCAACGTGTGTTAAAGAAACTTGCTCTACTTATGCCACGTGGCTTCATCTTTTGTATTTTTGTTATTTACTTTACATAAAAAGAATTACACGGATAGAAAATATAAAAAATTCTGGCCTACTAATATACGTCATCTATCTCAGCGAAACTCCGGCCTTTAATATAGTCTTACTTTTAATAAAAATATAACGTGATAATCCCGTTATCAAAGTGTAATAAACCTTATTCCTTCATTATTATAATGTCACTCAAAATTCAAAAATTAGCAAATGAAAACGATAACCACATCGGGTGCTAAACTGCTTATAAATAAAACTTCTAAGTTTAATTCATTAAAACTTCTAATAAAAAACTTCTGAATTTTGAAGATTGGTGAAAGAGCTTTTGTTGAAATCAAGATGGATAAATAACTCATTGATATACCATACGATATGGTCGTTCCAGTGACGTAATATTGGAGTTCTTCTGTAAGTAATAAGGTACGGGCCGCCGGAATCTTAACGGCGATACACCCTTTGTGTCTGCCAAATTGAAGCTTCGAGTGTTCATCAATAGCCGGCCCATTCTTTGGAGTGCGGACCACCTTTGCTGCGTATGAACGTTTGGGGGGCAGATTCTCCCCCTGCGGAGGGGGAGTTGCATCTTCTCTATTTCTAAATAATATATATAGGAAAATCTTCCGGTAAGGTACCTTACCTGAGCCTCCGTGCGGCCTCCACGTTTTGAGGGTCTTCCCGGTGGATTTTTTGATGAAATGTTTTGAGCATGTTCTTCATCAAGTCTAGTACATACATACCAAATTTCATCAAAAAACTTCAATCAGGAATGCAGTCAAACAATTTTTGGAAGATAACTGCGTTTTATATGTATATAAAGGGTGCAGTTATCTTCCAAAAATCATTTGAATGCCTTCCCAATTGAATTTTTTGCTGAAATTTGGTATGAATGTACTACACTTGATGAAGAACATGCTCAAAACATTTCATCGAAAAATTCAACCGGGAAGGCCCTCATAACGTGGAGGTTGCACGGCGGCTCCGGTAAGGTATATATATATATATATATATATATAGAGAGAGAGAGAGAGAGAGAGAAAACTTCATGTCAGGCCGGCCTGACGGGCTGCCCCGTCCGGCCGAGCCCGTTTGGGCACCTTCCCGGTGGAAATTTTTGATGAAATTTTTTGAGCATGTTCCTAATCAAGTCTAGTTTGTGCATACCAAATTTCAGCTCAAAATTCAATCGGGAAGGTCGTCAAATGATTTTTGCAAGTTAACTGGTCTGGAAAATACATATTCCGGACCAGTTAACTTGCAAAAATCATTTGACGACCTTCCCGATTGAATTTTGAGCTGAAATTTGGTATGGACAAACTAGACTTGATGAGGAACATGATCAAAAAAT